CAGGAATATTGATCAACGCTCATATACATATTGTATTATATCTATTATATATATACAGATAGATAGATAGCTAGCTAGCTAGATAGATAGATAGATAGATAGCCAGGCAGCGGCATGCGCGGGAAGGGCTATTCGTCTACACAGGGGGCATGAGCAAGTGCACAACCTGCCTGGTCTTCATGCTGAGGGGGTTCCATAGCCTTCTGGCATCATACCAACCTGCCACGCGGAGTTTTCGGACACTGCCATGCAGGAGCCAAAAAATATAAGACTTTCAGCAGAAGATCTCGAGATTTCCGGAAGACCGGTCGGATCTGGTTCTAGCCTTCTCCGGGCTTTGACTTTAGGCTTTACGTATCATCAAGAACCCTCTTGAGTGAGTGCTCACCTCTGGCCAGTGTTTCGCGATTTTTTGTGGCAACTGGTGAGAGTATCAAGCAGGTGTGCCACAGTAATAACCTCAGGTAATTGCAGTGTGTCCGATGGAGCATTCTTGCGAACTAGGCGACTGCTTGCTTGCAGTCTTCGGCGGTGCTGCTATCACTTTACCTAGCACTCTTGGCCTATGTTTGTCTTTGGAGTTCATTGTGTCTTCTGGAGCAACTGCTAACACGGCTTGATATGACATGTCTCGCATGCCCATGTTTACATCATCCGAACACGATGGTGACCGTAACCACTGATTTTGTTGACTGTGCCCAACGATAGCAGCACTAGGCCATCAACCGATTTTTTGTGTGGGGTCCAGCCTCCTACAGCCCTTGATTATTCCAAAGCCCCAGTTGCCTGAACAACTCGAGCGGCATCACTTTCCGACTGTTTCCTTTTACGGAGAGTTGAATACGTTTGTGGGCCGAGCACCGAGCAGCACGAGATTGAAAGCAGTCGTTGCAGTTCGACAACTAGATGCAACCGGAAATTAGCTTGCAAGGAATGAGGGGCAAGCCTCGACGCCGCACCAGGCACTTGGCCTCTTCCTCTTGCTCCTGATCTATGCTTTTCGCCTCGATCGGAAGCGCTTCACCTCGCGGACGGGCGCCGGCTTCGGTTTGGGTGCAGGGGACGTCTTGTGGGTTTAGGCCGTCGATGACTTCGTAGAGGCTGGAGGTGGAGCCGCCAACGTCTGAAGCCGACAGATGAGTTTACAGTTACCCGGAGTCTCCACTCTGCAGCCCACGAACCGCCAGGAGACATCTGGAGACTTCTTTGCTGGTGGAGGGAAAACAAGACTTCTGGATGAATTTCAATCATTTTGGTTCAGCTTGCTTGGGGGGCAATCGGCACAGGAACATAGTCTGAAGGGGCTGCTCGGCCCCGAAGGGCACGAAGCCTCAAGGCACTCACTAACAAAATCCTTTCTCCCCAACACCGCGATTCAGGTTCAGGGTCGTCGTTCTGTTGAGCTAAAGAGTCTCCACACCACACCGTTCCGCCCCTGTTCGAGGCTGTTGGTTGGCTTGAGGGAGGTCCGCTGTAAGATCCAGATGCCTCTAAGGCTCACACAAAAGTCCCCAAAACAGCGAGAGCCGTTGATTTTCAGATCGTTGCAAGACTGCCAGAGCAGTTGCTATCGACGAACATGCTTGTGCAATATTCCATAGAGGCCATCGGAGCATTCAGACGTAGCCGGGCCCGAAGCCGTTTCTTTGGTGGGATAGAGGTGAAGCTCTTCCAATCCCAAACTCTAGATGTCCTGCCAAATGACTGGTCATACTGTGACTGCCTTCCTTAGCCTCCTTAGCCTGTGCCCACCTCCGGCCACGGGCGGGACAGAGTCAGGGTTCCTCATGCTTTGGCATGGCGCAAAGGACCAAATTTTCGAAGCATTTTGCAAGTCAAGGCATGTAATTTCATCCTGTGCAGTTTCCTGACGGTGTATGATGTTATCGATGTGTGCTTTCTTCTTTGGAAGTAGTATGTTCCTTGCCAGCACGGCTTGACCTATACCTTCTTTTGTCACATATATGTATATCTAGATATATGCAATTTTTATTCTCGAATCTTACAAAGAACAATGCCACGACATTTCTACCTCAGGATTGTGAGGAGGCCTACGATGAGGTTCACGAGGATTCCTGGCAGCAATTTTCGATCAGAGCATGGCAAAAAGCACTCGGATCGCAACATTGACTCGGCTAATGCGATGCTCCTTTGGCGAAGTTGGAGCAGCAGGGATTCTGCAAGGGCGTGGCATTCCAAAGACGCCTGGCCTCGAAGCTCCAAAGACTGGGTTTCGAATGAATTGGAGCCCTGCTGCGCCTGACCATCGGGCTAACCGTCGGGCAGTTAGCTTTGGCCTTCCAATCCGAAGAAGGCTCTCGTGCAAGTTTCACCTGAGCCCAAATCAGGTGACTCCTTTGCCCCAGAGTCTCCGACCCCTATCCTGCCATTTTGGGCTACGCTTGGGTTTCATGGGGGCTTTTCGAGGAGTCTTCGTGTTCGCTTGGCCCTCTTTGGGGCTTCTCGGGCTGCCCGAAACTTCAGCGCTTCAAAGAACGGAGGAGGTTGCTGGTCCGAAGCGTCTCGGGTACGACACTGTCGGTGGGGCTTGAAACGGGTCTTCGGCAGCTTAGCAGCGTAGCAGTTGTAGACTTGTAGATGAGACTCGGAGAGCTAAAAGTGCTACCGCAGGCATAAGGATCCCAGCATGACGTCCAGGGCTTAGGGCACCGTAGAGTTCAACGAGGAAGCAAACCCGTAGAGTCTTGAACCCTGGGCCTGCGCTGAGGAGGATGCAGAGGAGCCGGTGGCGGCAAAGGACAAGGTGAGACTGTCGGGAGAGCTGGGCAGGTTTCAGGTTCAGGCTACACTTGTGGTTAGGAGGCTCCGGGTTTGTGTTCGGGAGGGTGAGGAGCTGTTATGATGTGAAAGGTCGTTATCACAGTTGCTTTCCGGTGTCTTCCGGGCTATCGGCTTCAGAGGTGTGCACGACATCCGGGCACTGCAGCCGAGCCCTGGCATGGGCCTTGTGAATTGGGCGGGTGTATTCCAGAAGCGCGAAGCTGCAGTTAATTTTGGCTCAACGTTTCGTGTCGGAGCCTCAAGCGAGACTTGAATCCCCCAACCAAAAGACACCCCATAAGGGACTGCATGACCTTGAGATGGAGTCTCGGTGAGTCCAAACCATTTCACCTTACACCCCGAAAGCCCAAGCCCCAAAGCTCCATGGCACAGGCAGAGCCAGGCTGCTGCCACAGGGCATCTGGGCTAAACTGCATTCAACCAACACCTCACTAATACAACCTTTGTCAACGTCCGAAGCCACACAACGTGAAGGGCTAGCCGCTGGCCTGGAGCTTGGTTACATTCAAGAAGGGATCTCAGCCTTGCGGCGACGTGCTTAGGGTCTCATCGTGCTGAATTAGGCTCGTGATGCCGTTCCGTGGAGGGCATTCGGAGAATGGCGGTTTTGAGGAACACTCCAGGGTGCAAAACGGAACGAGTAGGACCTTGGGCCTTGGGCGTCAAGGCTTTGATGAAGGAAGGATCTTGGGGGCGATGGAGGGGCAGGCGGATGGTTCTGGCAGCCCGTTGCGTGGTTGGGGTTTAGGCTTCCGGTTCGGGAACCTTGAACCTAGCCATACTCAAACCCAAACCCGCAACTTCACAAATCCATGTTGCGGACCGAACCGTCAAGCTGTTACTGGTAGTCGAATGAGCCATGTCGATGCCAGAAACCATGGAGCCACAGATTGTGCTGACACTGCCGTAGCAGCTTGCACGAACCCGGCGCAAGAAGTCTCTGCATGCTTGCGGCACCGCAGGCAAGGACACTTCGCCAACAGTAGGCTCCCAACGCATCAGCCCGAAGCGGTACACCCTGTAGCGTGACTCTGTCAGCTAAGCGGGTGGTAAAGAAAGGTTTGGTAGTACCAGCCGAGGTTGCAGCTTCCACCTTCGCAAACTTCACTTGGCCGCTTGCCTCAAGGCATAAGGTTGCACATCGTGGTGTTTGTAGGGAGCCCCTCAGGGTTTCACATGGTTTTGTGGGAAACGAGATCATTGCGAAGCAAGCCCCGATTTCCTGAAGAAGCGAAACGCATGTCTTGTTCCTACGGTATGTTGCATGATGAGACTCTCACTTTTGCCCGTACCTGAGCTAGGCAACCTAGGGCCGTCTGGAATACGCTCTCACCCGGTTTGCCAAGCTGTGAAAGTCTGCTTGAGTGGATTTGGTAAGTCTTCGGCATTGATGAAGATGCAGCAATCGGAGCATGTAGCCTTGCTCCTTTGAGCCACTTGTCGCACTTGGAGACATGCTGGAAGCAGGAAGCGTAACTCAAGGTGCCTCGGCGTGATGTTCGAAACGCCCGAAGCTGACTTGCTAGCGGAGCTCCTAAATGCCAAGGAGAGATTCGGAGAGGTTTGGGTTCCGGCCTGGGGCCAGAAGGTTTCGAGTTGTGGGCAGTTAAGGACAAAAGACCTGGACAATATAGGATAACTTTTAAGACACATAGTGTACACTTGGGTTGCCAGTACGCAGTCAGTAGTACTTGCTGTGCTACTGATTCTGGCGGTTCAGGCTACGGCTAGTTAGTTCGAGCTCCAGACGAGACACGAGAAATACCGCAATGGCAGCAAAGTGCCAGTCCGCTTCAGACATACTGGAGCCGCAATTTGAAACATGCAGTTGAAAATCCAGTCGCGAGCATCGAATTTGCGTTGCTGGTTGTGTCAGCAGCCAGCCTACCAAAACTGGCAATTCCTGCTGCCCCGAGTGCTAGGAAACCGCTCGGAATGCGTGTTTGACTGGCTGCACCGACGCCAGGTCATTTTGCATCAGGAGAAGTGCTTGTGGTCAGAAACGGTACTGGAAATACGTGTCAGCGAGAGTTATGCAAGCAATGCGGACACGCTTTAGGAATTTCACGGACATGAACTTCCCGTTGGCTTTCATCTGAACCAGGAGGTTTTCGTCAATCGCTGCATCTCCGCAATCTACGCCTACGCCAGCCAAGCTGACTGGCAGAGCATTCGTGCCGCGGAGACTGACATCGGCGAGATGTTACTCGGCTTTGATTCGTGGTCCGGGTTCCTGAGTTCCTGAGGTTTCAACTCAGGGTGACCCGGCCCTGACTTCTGACAACATTGAGCTGACGTCCATTTTCGGAGTTATACAGTAGACGTTTGAGAAGGACACAATCTAATCTAATGTTCTTGGCAACAGTCCTCGGAGTTGTGCCTGGGGCATCCTGGGGGCATGGTGATAAGCCCGAGGAATGTGCGACACTGGGAGACATCTGCACTGTCCGTCACCGTTCGGGATTTCGTTCACATGAATGAAAAGGTGGATCATCGTCGAAGCCTGGCAAGCACTGGTCCTGCAAGTTCCAGTACGGTAGACGGCAAGAACCCAGGCCGAGAGACAGGTCAGGCTCCGAGGGCCACAGTCCCCGGCCAGGCGGCCACAAGATCAATGCGCAGTCCAGCCATGTTGCTTAACTAGTCATGCAGTTCGCTGATGCGCCGTCGCTTGCAGGCCTAGATGAGAGAGTAGGTTCTGTGATTTGCTTGTGATGCTCGGGCGGAGTGATGAGTTATTGGAAGTCGCAAAGTGCACCTGAGCCCGCAACAAGCAAAGGAGAGGATCATGGAATAGAGCCTTGATGACCGAGGTAAGAAGGCGTTCGCCGCCAGGCAGTTTCTCTCCAGCCCGTTCGTGCAGCTTGGCAGCCAGAGGATTTCGTGTGCTTTTTTGAGAAGTATGGGACCCGGGTTCACAATTATGCGCTCGGAATGGCAACGGTCAGCTTGCAGTCATCGGCAGTACAAGTTACAATGCCACCAGCCGTTAGTTCGGTAGTCACTGCAGGTCATGCGAGGGCAAGCAGCGTTGTTCCACAGAACTATGCTGCAGCGAAGCTGTATGGCAAGCAAAACACCAAGTCCCAGGCCGATTCTGTCCACATCCCAAGTCTTCAAGTCTTCTCCGTTTCAGGACATGCGCGCAAGGTTCCGTGCTCCGGGTTTGGGGCCCCCTTCAACCAAAGAAGGGACCCTAGGGAAACCAAACCGTACAAGACTCTGGTAGTCGACTGCGAACCGCGCGACCTCGTCAGGCATGTCCGGGTTTTTAGAGCGTGAAGTAGGGTTCATCCCGATAATGCAGCAAGAACCCCGCCCGGATCCCGAAACCCGGACCCCTCGGCCGAAAAACCTCGGATCCCAGGCTGCGAGTTCTTCTTTTAGTGCGGGCCAAGCACCCGTGGATCGCCTTGCAGAAGCTCGCCCTGGAGAAGATCGTCAATCTTAAGGGTGCGTGAGAGGGCTAGAGGTGCATTTTTTCAGAGTTCTGCTTAGACCTACCTGGGCCGGGTTTGGTGTAGGGCCGGCATTGTCTTGGTTCGGCTCTACGGAAATTCGACGGCTTTGTTTTGCAGAGGTGTTTCCAGAGCGAAACACATTCAAGACTTTCCCTTACGGTAGAGCAGTGAAGGGGTGCTTTTAGAGATTCGGATGGTTGGGCATCGTTTCCGATTGGCCCCTGGAGTAGTGTGAGTGGCTGTTGTCTGCTCTTGGTGCTGAACGTTTATTGCTTATCTTCATGGGTGAGCAACACCATGGAAGCAGGGCTTGCTGCTCCCTCAACCGGAAATCCTTCGTTGCTGAACATCGCACCTTTGTTGAACCCATGGCAGCATCCGCGAATAGTAAAGATTTCAGCAAGATGCGACTGTTGGCCATGGCCTCGGCATGCCCCCGATAGTAACACGGAGCACCAACAGCGCCACAAAGTGGAGCATGTGGAACCTCAGCGCATCTAAGACTGTCTAGACTGTGCGTGGTGAGTCGCGCAGCGATGCACGGGGTCCCACACATCTTTGAATGAGCAGGATGCGTCCTTACATATTTCCTCTGCCGCTATATATATATATATATATAGCAGCTATAATGACAAGCCACAAGACCAGCTCGTACGTCGCCTATCGAATGTGTTCATTATTACGTGGCTATGCAGTTGCAGTCCACCCATCGTAGTAAGCATTGGGGGCAACTGCATGGTTTTTAATATATTTGGGCTTTCCTGGGAGGGTGCATGCAAGATGTCCTTAGCGTGCTTGCTCGGAGAGTGGCTCCGGTGGCTTCCGGCACACATGCAGAGCCCGGATTGAAAAAAGGGTTCGGTACCACAACAGTAACTTTTACGTTATGTATTTCCACGATGCCACCTCAAAGTGTCAACACAGACCAACCTTTCACGAAGTTGTTGAAGGCCTAGAAATTCTTGAGATCCGAGCAGCAGAGGTTTGTGAGCCTCTTCCGGTCGCACACCATCCGCGCGGCTCCTCGCAGCACTCATGCCTGGTGCTGCGGTTCAGGGGTCTTTTCAGGTGGACGGGTGTAGGGATTGCATCCTTTGAATTTCGAAAGCTGCAACCCAGCGCGACGAAAAACTTGTATCGGCAACCAAGAGCGCGAGACCATAAGCCACCAAGCCGTAAACATCGAAGTTCAACCAGCTAGACTTAGAAAGGTTCAAATGTCGAGACCGTCGAGACCCGAAGATCCGAGAGCTAAACATCTGAAGTTCCAAACCGGAGCTTGGCAAAAGGCCCTTCTCATCCTCAAGCTGGTTTCTGCGGCAGCAACGAATGCGCTTTTCTTCTCCGGATCAGCCATGCCTCTCGGAGGGAGGAGTCTTTTGTTGTGGTGATTGGTGCTCTTGCAGGCCAAGTCGGTGTTTCGCAAGCCAGATAATCACAAGTTCTTGTCCTTCATCTAGATGATATTGATGATGATGATGCTGACGACGATGGTGAAGGTGTTGTTGTGGTCGGTTGTTGCTCCAGTACTACCGCTATAGGGCGTCTTTCTACTCCAGATGCTCCGCCTGCGGTGGCTGAGTAGCTGAGTATCGTTGTCGCAGCACTATCTTCGATTCTTATCGTGATTATTTCGGGCTGTTGCTGCTGCTACCACCGCCGTGACGACGACGACTACGACGACGACGACGACTACTACTACTAGTGCTACTGCTGCCTCTGGTGTAGCAGCAGCAGAAGCAGGAGTGGCAGTGTTAGTTGTAGTGGTAGTGGTAGTGAGGGGTAGGTACGGTAGGGGTAAGGGAAGTGGTGGTGGTAGTAGTAGCAGTAGTAGTAGTAATAGTAGTAGTTGTTGTAGTAGGAGCAGCAGCAGC